CCGTACAAGTAACGATAACGACCAGTTACAAGTAACGGTAACTGTTCAGTATATCTTTCAAGAGTCAAATCTCTAAATATCTAGGTATCCAGGGTGAGGGTGAAAGTTTGTAGCCTCACCCTGGATACCTAGATATTTAGAGATTTGACTCTTGAAAGATATACTGAACAGTTACCGTTACTTGTAACTGGTCGTTATCGTTACTTGTACGGTAACTGCTTATCCGTTACCGTTACCAAGAACGTCAACTGTTCAGCAGTTACAGTTACTGTAACGCTAATGGTAACTGTCACAGCCCTAGGCTCTAAACGTTGATTCGTTATAAACATACAACTGTTGTACAAACAGCCCAAAAGATCGATTTTAGGCCTATCTGAAAACGTGTCTAAAATAGTGAAGACGAGCAGGCGAACATTGAACAAGTACACCAGATGGTAGAAAATTGCTTGCTCTACATCATTTATAAATAATTGCAAATTTGATGGGCAAGGTCGAATATCGTTTTAGTAAAAAACATTTAATCATCCTTAGGTCTTTATTTCTTTGCAATATTACTGATCCGCTTTTTGTTAAGATATAAATTCAATTCAGTCAGCCGATTTAATGACACAATCCCATTCACAATATTTGAATGATGATGATAAGAATCGTACACAGACAGCTTATCATTAGGCATTCAATAAAGCTGCAGATTTAGCCAATGAACGATTGAACATCGATATCGCGTATGTTCAACATTTTCATGCGGAACTGACCACATTATATCCTCGATACTGTGCTTTATTTCAAATTTACCGGAATATTATGAGTGTCATTTCTAATATTCAACATCATGTCAATTTTGTCGATGTTCATAGTGAAAAGAAAGATGTTTGCCATGAATTTATAATCGAAGCAAGAAAAACAATACAGAATTATTGATTACAAATGCAGTTAAACGAAATGAATTCGGTACACCGGTTCTCTATGTCGAACTAGATGCATATATGTATATGTTTCGATATTTCGGATATTTATTCCGCATGTCACTAAAAATCTTTCAAATCGACGCTCAGCTAATTCCAAAATCATCATCAGTATCGTCATCAGCCAAACAATTATCATCACAAGAAAAAGGAGCTCTTAATATTCTGTTATTTCATCTCATCATTCATCACTGGCCGATTATTTTGATCTGAATGGAAAAAAAAGATCAATGGACCCTTTCATAACAAACGTCCTGATATTGAATCGGCGTTGAATATCAATGATCAATTAGTCTAATTCACCATCACACTCTGCAGAATTTTGCCAAATCCGATCAGAATTTTGTGAAATACAGTAGAATTTCTGATAAAAGAGTAGGAACGCCTCCGTTGTTAATTTTGATAGTGCGAATAGAAACTTTACTTGTTATGGCTGGTTTATTCGAAAATATAAATTACAAATATCTGGGCTGGTTCACGTAACGGTCGCTTTTGGAGTCGAACTCAAAGTTTCAAATCTGACATAATAAGCGATATCAGGTTGAAGGGCATAGTCTATTACATATAAACGTTCTTCATAGATCGATGTCCGACGGTGGCTAGTTTTAGAAACTAAAAACAGCAAGTCTGTAGCTGTTACGGTTCAAGTTATTCAAAAAATATTAGGCCCCATTCTATTTTGAAACGGATAGCAGTGCATCAGACAGAACATGAAAAACTAACTTTAAACCACAGAATTAGAATTTGAATAGTATTATTATAATCACTTTCAAAATAAACCTTAACCTATATGTCGTTACGGAATCATGCCGTCGGCTAACCCAATTTACAATACTTCTAAGCCAAGGAATTTAGAACAAAACAGGTTCACATTTGAATCAAAATCATCAGTTTTCATTTGTTTATCGTTACAGACTTCTACATTTAACAAATAAATAATGCGCTCTAAAACAGAAAATTATTGGCAGTATATGTCTGACAGAACTTTCCTGCTGAAAGCGTCATCTGTGAAAAAGCTTTAAATTCTATCATAAATATTTGATCAAGTAAACACTAAAATGTACGCTTATATGTAATCGACTATACTCTTCAACCTGGTATTGCTTATTTTGTCTGATCTAAAACTTTGACTTCGACTCAAAACGCAACTGTTCCGTGAAATGGCCCAGATATTTGTAATTTATATTTTCGAATAAACTAGTCATTACAAGTGAAGTTTCTATTCGAGCTATCAAAATTAACAACGGAGGCGTCCCTACTCCTTTATCAGAAAACAAATATATATATATATCGGTTTTCGCGTAATAAAACACCGTCAAAATAAGGACAGATAAAAATGCCTTAACGTCAATATTTGTCTTACACCAGATATTATAAACTTTATCTCCCTTTATGGTTTCTTTTGTTTATTCACGATTGATACGCAGTTACTATCGCTCTATTAGAGCAATGAGTTAAAGTCAGAAAATTTTGCAATTTTTATTGCAAAAGTCAGTTTTTTTGAATGTAAAAACTCGAAGGTTTCAAATTTTTCTTATAGAGGATTCCTTCTTTTTCAACGTGGCTTACATCATTTTGCAGAGCTCATCGAGCTCTATTTGAAACAGGTTGTTTCTAGTTTGGATCAAGTTTGAAAGTCCTAAAACCCCAGAGTAAAACCAGCTTTTCTAAAAATCTTTAAACTTTTTGGTAGTGGAAGATCGTTAGAGTGACATCTGCAAAAATAGATGTGTCTTTTGTTAATCATAGGTAAAAACAAATAATTTTATCTGGCAAAAGAAACACGAAAAAATGAGCTTTTATTATTCATTTCTTGACTATATCATCCAAATGTTGTTGAGTGACTTTTAAATGAGCGAAAATACTCACGAAGAAGTAAAGAAAGGGTTTGTGTTTGCGTAGGTATGGTGCAATTACATTTCAGAACATTTTTTGATGAAAGTGGAAAAGCAAGGTTTGAAAATTGCAAGCAATCCATTAAACTACTTAACACACTATAGGATCAAAGCTTGCAAAATACATATTCGCTAAGAGTTTTATTTTCTAAAAAATGAGTTTGCATTCTCTGGGAATTCATTATAATGTGTATTGGTGTGTATGATGTGTTTGCGAATTCTATGTGTAGGTCACCATCTTTGGCGATGGTCGACTGAGCACGTTAAGCGACACGATGTTTACGGACATCAGGTGAGGATTATGAGCAATGACTGCGAGTCCAAAAACAGCAGCTTGTGAGCAGAATTTGATCCTTAACGTTTTGTGACCTGTACTGTAACTTATGACTATATTTTGGTCGAATAGAGGTTTTAGGTTCGCAGGCACTGTTCATAATCTTCACCTGATGTCCATAAACATCGTGTACTTGTCAGAAAACTAAAACTGGAGCTCTAAAGTTGGATAATTGAGTTTTCATGTTTACTAGGGAAAATTAAAATTTTAATTTCTACTACGAGCATGTTAAACTCCACTAGATTTTTTATTTTCTCCTGCAACATATATATATATATGAGCCATTAAAGATAAGCCACGACCTAACGTGCTCAGTCGACCATCTCAAATTTCTTCCATAGTAAGGGCTTCTTTAGAGCAAACACTTTCATGAATTTTGACAAAAACTGCAGATCCTAAAGTTTCTGCTTTGCTGAAATATTCAATTTTTGCAAAGCGCTCGAAAACGCACAAATTCCGGCATCTGAGGAAACTGTCAATGTAATCAACGTACAACTCCATAACGACACATTACTTAGATTTAAGAATTCTACCATAACTACTAAATAGTATCTACTACAAATTCACACAACCGCAAGCTCCAGACATGCTTTCGTTCTTTTACAGTAGATGATGTCGTGAGAGCCCAAATCATCGATCTGGTCATTTCGAAGAAAGATTTTATCTCGGAAAATTGGACGAATTTCTCGCCCCCTACAATATTGTTGGAGTACATCTAGCGTACTATCATGAACCATGGTGAGATTTTTGGGATTATTTAAAATCACCTGGAAAACCAGATCAAGAAAATTTTCAATTGAAGTTGGGATTTTCCTATCAGCCATTTTATAGAGCACATCAACTTACACATGTCAAGCTATTTTTATAACTATTCGATTAGTTTTAACTAAGTTTTAAATTTTTCAAACACTAGAGTATTATCATGCAGGTATATAAGTTATGTATACTTAAAAGCAATACTTGAACTAAAAGTTTATGATTCCATCAAAACTAACCGAATAGTTATAAAAATAGCGTGACATGTGTAACCTGATATGCTCTATAAAGTGACTGATTCGAAAATCCCAAATTCGATTGAAAGTTTCATGATCTGGTTTTCTGAAAATCTCACTTGGTTTTCCAGACGATTTTAAGTGATCTCAAAAATCCCACCATGGCTCATAATAGTATACTTGGTGTACTCCAACAATATTGTAGGAGTCGAGAAATTCATCATGATAGAATTCCTAAGTCTAAGTAATGTGTCGTTATGGAGTTGTACATAGTTTACACAGTAATAGGTCATGGCTTATCTTTAATGGCTCATACATAAGTTTGAACAGACATCGCTATTCACACTAGAAAATAAGGCAGCGTCCTTTTTGTGGTATAATATATCAACCAGCTTCCGGAGATCCCAATTCATCTAACTATATTAACGTGTATGATGATACAAAACACTGTGTGATCTCTATTTATCAATTCAATTCGGTACAAATTCATTAATTAGCGATAAAGCCAGCCTTAGAGAAGCCTCGCACTTTAGTTACCCGGTCTTTTAGGATGTAGTAACTAAAGTTTGCCTGCTGAGATCCTCGTTGTACCATGCTCAATGCTTATTTGACATTCTATAATTCTGCCTAAATCAACTGGTTTTTTTGCCTCATTTATCCCTATATTTTTCATTTCGGATTATTTTCAATTTTTCATTTAATATTGCTCTAAAAAGAGCAGGAGAGAGTAAGAAAATCACTGTCAAAATAAAACAATCAGCACAGAGCAAGAAAACTGCTCTGTCGAAAACTTCTGTCTTTAGATATTTATTTATAAGATTCATGTTACATCCGGAATAATCATGCAAAATTATTAGATATACAGCCGCGGTGCGTTTTTGAGCTAGTAGAGGTGCATTTTAACATGTTTTTGATGCTGATCCAGCAACGTACCTAGGATTCCAGTAAGGGGTGGGCCAAACCTTTTTTTTGACCAAAGAAAACATAAAAAAAGCCGTGTATTTTGATTTTAATCAAAATATTTTTTTCTACTGCGAAATGAAGAAAACGAAATTTCGAAGGGGTGGACCATGGCCCACCCTTGGCCTAGTGCTGGATACGTCTTATACTAATCGTCAGTTAGTCATGTATATATCTCGATATATCAGCTATGAAGTCGCCTCATTTCTAGTTATGATGTCTTACTTGGAGTTGTCTTGGATGTACACTTATTGAGATATTTCTTAAAATCATTACCAACAATAAGCGATTGGTTAAATGTGTGTGTACCAGCGGAACGTGCTATAACAATCATATATAAAATAAACTTTAACAAAAATTTAAGTGTAAAATGTTCAAATATATTGCTCCTCTAATCACATGTTTGGTATTGATAACATTTTTACATGAACCCATTTATCGTCAAATCAAAAGTGATACATATGATCAGCGCTCATGGTGTGTATTAAACATAAATAAACAACAACAATGGCTCAGGGTATACACT